TAGCTACGAGCTGGCACAGGTTCACGCTCCCCAGCAGGCAAGACGGAGTGCAGGGGAGCCCTCTGGAAGGAAACAGAAGTTGTGGAAGTTAGTCGCTGCAGAGCTGCTGCTATTTATAAACCTTGGCTGGCAATAAAGGAAGGAGAAAGGCTGTGGGTAGGGCCAGTGAAGTCAGCCTCTCGTGTAGAGCAGCTTCGTTCGCCACTGCTGAGGTTGAATAGTGCTGTAGACGGGGCTCACAGCTACAGCCAGACCATTTTCCCTCACTGAACACAAATAGTAATTTTGCTACATAAGAAAAAAAAAAAAAATCCATCTGCTCGTTCGGCCCGTGTGCCCGCACTGCAGCACAGCTGTCGCAGGCAAGCCGCGGATCTGGAGCTTGTCCAAAGCCGGCAGCGGGGAAAGCAGGAGGTCCCGGGGCAGGGAGAAGCGCGGCGCTGGCTGCTGTGCCTGGCGGAGGCGGCCCTGGCACGGAGGCAGCCCTGGCTGCTCATTGCAAAGCGGAGGAGGGTAATTCAGGAGCGCAGCCTTCTGCTCCTCGTTTGCGATGGACGAGTCAACTTGCTAAATGGGTCCTCATATTGGCAGGTGAAAAAAGAATTGGAGGCCATTCAGTGAATTTGCTCCTGTACAGTTGTGCTAAGAAGAGGGGCAAAAGGTGTATTGTGTTTCTTTCCATCCTGCCTCGTTCCCTCTCCTCCCCTTGCCCTCCTATCTGTCCATACAACACAACAGATGCTTTCCACAGGATAAGGCGTGAGCACGAAACTAGGGTAACAAGGGAATTTCCTGGGCACTGCACAGTCTGTTTCCTGATTCCCCACCACAACCGCTACTGGAAACAGCTGCTGTAGGCACAGCTCTCCCAGCTGAACAGGATTTGAGCTGGCCCTGTGCTGTGACAGGAAGCAAAAGAGGGGTTGTTTTTTTTTTTCCCCTCCCTACATCTGTGGGACCACTTACACCCCATTCCATCTCACAGGCTGCTAAAGTCACGTATTGCCACAGGTTTCGTCTCATCTTCTTATCAAGTATCTATGAATTTACCTTCCTTAAATTGCAGCTGTGAGAGGAGCCAAGAGGGTGTCTTGGCTTCTCATCACCGTCACTGAGGTAGCATCGAGGCTGCTGCTGGTGTGGTAGTATAGCCTGCAGCATTTCGTAACCGAGGAACTCCTAAGAAGATCAACTCAGAACAATCTCTGGAAACTATCTCATACCAGCTGCAGTAATACAAAGTCCTACTAATTGGTTATGCAAATCCATGGGTAGTATTAAGGAACCTGATAATTTATTGCACCCTCCCAAGCATCCCATCTGGGTGGCACAGTGACCCACCACTGTTCCTCCTTATTTAAGTAAGCCCTGCCCAAGCCTCTAAACTACTGTGCAGAGCAAGGAGTTTCACAGTAGAAACTTGGGAAGAACATCAATGCCCTTCAGGGTGCAGAAGGACAGTTGACTAAACAAGCAGAGAAGAGGGGTAGTCAGCAGGTCCTGTGCGAATTTGGTTTGATTTCCCCTTTGCCCAGTGCATACCCTCCCCCTTCCCTTCTCCTGCCCTTGGAAAAAGGAAAGAGAAAGGATATCATCAAGGGACTGAGCATAAAGAGAACAATGCAGACAAAACCTCCGGAGATCTCACGTGAAGTATCACAAGAACACAGCCGCTCCTGGGCCTGCTGGGCTGTAGATTGGGGAGAACAATTACACAAATGAAACTTGCAGAGAATTTCTGGGAAAGCAAAATGGAGATGCGCAGTTAAGGGGGTTGCTCTGCACTCAAGGTCCTCCTCTTCATCTTATGGGCTACCGGGTTCACTAGCAAGCAAGAATAGCTAGACCTTTGTCTTCCTGTCAGTTCTGGAAACCAGTCAGACCCTCTTCTTAATTTAAACAAAGACTTCTTCACCCTGTTCAGGCCACTTTTACCAACTGCAATGGTTAACACATATTTGGAAAAATTCTGCAGCCAGCATGTGTTTGTCTTCTCCTCACACTTTCAAAAGTGATTGTGCTGGAGGAAGGAAGCCTCCCCCTCTTTCGTCCTGTCCAGCTGGAAAATCACCTCTAATCTTACTGCCCTTTTTCCTGCTGTGTATCCTGCCAATTAAAACTGGGTCTTGTTATGAACTGCAAATAATGTGTCTAAGCCTTTGGCCAGGTTTTTTCTAGTTCAGTTCTCATTCTGCCCATGAACGTCATTTGGCTTGTATTTCGTATCCCCTGATCAGCCCACCCCTCTCTCATTTCAACCTCGGTTCTTGCTTGCTGTCGTCATTCCTACTGCTCTGCCTGGCATCTGCCATGCCATTTTATTCCTGCTCTTTTCACATGTGATGGGCAAATGGGCTCCCTTCCCATTGCACTGGAGACATTTTGGCCCTGCTAGGTACCTGGAGGGGCCTGCGTTCATTCCCCTGTGCACCGCATGTTGAGGACAGATGCACATACCACCTGGCTGAGGTAAAGCCTTGTTTCCTTGTTTTGGCTTCCAGGATGTGTATTCTCATGTTGTCATCTGACTGATCCACTAAAAAATACCATCAACTCGTAGTGGACATGATCACTTCCAACAGAGTGTCCTTCCTGTCTCTCCAACTCCCTACAGCAATGGCTGAGTATCTTGAGGGGGATTGGGTGGCCTCTGCCCACACCTCCACATCTGGCTGTCAAGGACCACTCACTGGAAAGGGTGTGTAGCTGTTTAACTGTGGACTCTAGAGGATCTTGTTGGGGGCTTGATTATAGGTTGTCCCCTTTAAAGCCAATCCTTATTTCATTCTTCTGTTTCCTGTTAAGGCAGTTCTTGGACAAAACCACAAGTTTGTCCCTTGGGTATTCTTAAATTCAGTAGTGGCCCGGCAATAAACTTGCCCATGGTCTTTTAGGGCCTCTAGACCTCCGCTAGAGCTAAGGAGCCCCTTGATGTGCTGGAAGTCAAATATACCTTCTCTTTCCTTCTGCAGAAGACAAAGCCTTTTAGTAAGTTTCAAAGGCTCTTCCCTACTCCCCCGACACATGCTGTAGAAGCATTGATGTGTCTGTACATCTTTCCAATTAGACTGCAAACTCTACTGAGATGTTCGATACTGCAAGGCAGAGCTGGCTAGTATGGGGAGAGCTCTGTTGGCTTTGGTGGCATTACTGCTGTCTCTCACCTTGACATGTGGGAGGGACCCCACCTGGAGTTTTGTCCATGTTTCGCTCAAGGTCTGTGTCACTGTGGAAACATACAGATGCTACATAGCTGGGAAAACAGTCCCTGACTCTGTTTTCTCTTTGGTGACTTCCTTCTTCCAGCTCCTGGAGTGAGTGTGCACTGCTTGCGGGTATCCTGAGTGTCAAGCTATGTAAGGAAAACCATTTTCTGCAGAAAGTAGGTTGTCGTGTAGCACCTGGAGGCTCTCAGATCTTTTTCATGTGCGCATTCACAAACTGCCCATTTTCCCCAACACTTTGAAGGGCTCCTGGAGGGAAAGAGGCTGAGAAATGAGGAGACTGTATTTTGGAGTCTGCTGTGCCCTTTTTATACTAACGTACACATGGTGCTGATGCAGTGACAGTATGTCAGTGAAGCCATTGTGAGGGCTAAAACTGTTTCCAGACAAAGTGACAGTCCACGGACCTACATCTCCAGTGACTGGAAAATGCCCTTTCTCTTACATTAAGGTCATGAGTAAGAAGCCTGCCTCTGCTTGCCTGAGCTTTCCTGGGGCAGACACTGTTTGTGTAGGTGGTGTCCTCTCCTCCTGCATGGCCTGCAGGATGAATCCTCATTTCACTCCTACTGAAGAGACACACACAGCTGTGGGATGAACTGTCATGAGCAATATGAAGTAGAGGGCAGTCACCTCTATTTGAATTTGCTGCATGCTGTGATATATTTAGGATATGGAGGACTGCATGTGCCCGAGAACCGGAATCTTATTAGCTCTGTGTTTTATACAGTACCAGGTACACCTTACATGCACCCAAGCACACCTCTGCCTAACCTTTTTTTCTGGTCTAGTTAACAGTTACTTACAGAATTCCCCTCATTTGTCCTCTTTGTCTTTAACTCAATTGTTGTCCTAGCAGCAGCTATAGTCTCATTTATTGCTTAGACATGCATAGTGGTTGGCAGAGGTCCTTGCTATTTCTGGCACAGATGTATGAACCATGGGCCATCTGAAGAAGGTGACTGTGCTGCCTCCAGGACGCAGCCCTTTCCTTCACAGTAGCTGCCCAGAGTGTCCCCAGTTTTGGGAAGCAGCTGCTTTCCACCACCCACCTGAGGAACGTGAACTTCTGGCACCATCACAGGTAATAGGAGTTTCACACAACTGACATAGGTCCACCTTATCTCAGACTGATATGTCACTTTAAGGTGGTCTCTTCACCACCCCCAATGTGGGCCAGATGTGTCCCTGAACTAAAGAATACAACTTCAGGTTTTTTCAGAAACAATGATAGAGAATTGCCTTTTCTCTTGATGTTTCTCTATCAACTCTTTCAAATTTTGGTGAGAGAAAAATGTGGTGAGACACCACAGCTGGAATGTGGGATGCCATAGCTAACCGCCTGCAGACACCACGTCTGCTGGGACCAAAGCACGCAGCACTTGGCTGAACTTTGTCTGTTCAGCTCTCTGTGTTTCAGTTTCCACATTTCAGCTGAGGGCCAAGTGAAGTACCTCTGGGTACACTCACTTCACCATGGGATGAGACCACTCATGTACATCCTGCAACTGGGAGCAGGTCCCTGTCGGCCACTGATGGGGCAGTCACACTGGAAATGTGTTTGTGGCACCTACTGATCCCGTTACTGGCAGTTTCAGAAAAGGACCCTTGAGCCAAGGAGCCTGAGCTCTTAGAAGTGATCAGACTGCTGGTGGAGGTCTACACAGGTCCTATGGGGTGCTGAAATAGGCTCCAAAGCTGTTGGTCCTGCGCTGTTTGTCAGCGCCATGTTCCCCTACAAAAGAAAAAACAGGACACAGGAAGCACCAACACAAGGTGGGAGAATCAAGACCTCAATCCAATGTACTAATAATACTTAGCACTGTACATCACTGTACTGTTACTTACAAACATGAACTAATACATCCTCACAACACCCCTGCGAGGTAGGGAAGTATTATTATCCCCAGTGTACAGATGGGGAAACTGAGGCACAGAGAGGCTAAGTGACTTGCCCAAGATCACACAGCAAGGCATTGGCAGAACCAAGATAAGAATGGAGACGTCCCTTGTTCCCCGCCCCGTGCTGCCCCCCACTAGACAATGTTGCCTATCTGGACACAGGGAACCCAAGAGGTCCCTTCGAAAAGCAATGCCCGGACTTGTTGCCTATTAATAATTTTTATTTGCCTTTAATGAATTATTTCACAGTTTTTCCCTCACACTGTACACCACGCTTTCACAGTCCGTTCAGCATTCTGTGGTAGCCCACAGCCTTCTCCTCCAGCACCGGGACAGCTCTGCAGGGGGGGGTCGTAGGGTGCTCTGTGCTTTCATTAAAAGGATGTTTAGAAACAGTTTTCACTGGCATTAGACTGGGAGCACGTGAGCTCTCACTGGAGACCGATAACACACACTGGAGAAGCAGGCAGAGGGAACTGATGGTAAAAAGGCATTTGCTATCCCCTGTGAAACGGCCAGTGGCTCTCTTGGTTTCTTAGCTCTTCCAAGCTCCAGTGATCACTCAGAGCAGAAACTGTTTGGCTCCAGCTTGCCTGGTCAGGACGTCGTTGTTCTGGGGGTTGCTTCCCTAAGGGTGATAGGCAGTCGGCTCAGGACCAGAAAGGTCCCCCAGCACTGCCTACTCCAGATGTGTGACACCGTCTTGGAACAAGGCTGGCTGTAGCCATTGTGCTCTCCTGCCACGGGGAAGGGGTATTACCACGGCTGGCAAGCAGCCATAGCCAGCGTCTAAGTCTCTTTTTTTCAAAACTGGGAATTCAATGAAGAGCAAGGGAGAGTGGATGGATGAGGAGATGAGGATGAGGCAGAGCAAACAGGAAAATCCACCAAATGGGCTTCTAAGAAGGAAATGTTCCCCCTTGGGCACTTCAGCTGAAGCGGCTTCATTTTCACAAGGCTTCTTTCTCTCTCTGGGAACATCTGCTGAGCTTCATCTCTGTCAGCTGGATATATCGTATGACATTGGTATCTGCAGGGAAAGAGCACACACATACACGTATGGTGGTTACAACTCACCATGAAAGACAGACACAGTGCACCTTCCTACTTGGTGCATCACCTGGTGAGCAACATGGCTCCAGCGCTGCCTCCAGGAACAGCATCAGTTGGAAGGGGCTCCAAACCAACCGCTGCTGCTTTGGTTTTGGTCTGATTTGTGTTCGCCATCCCTGTGGCTCACAATCTTGCCTCAGCTAGTTTTTACCTTCTCTCTGATTACTCTTGGTCAGCACAGTTGAATTTGCACAGTTGAAACTATCCAGGTCATCGTTGCCTGTTCTTGTGGAACAGCACCTCCGTTGGCTTCCCTTCCCCCAAAGCCTGCATGCAAGCTCCTAAAGGCATTTTGCATACAGTCATCCTCTGCCTTTTTGCCCTCCTGTTCCTTTTACAGCCTATTTCACTCCTCACATTTTTCCATGATGAGTTGAATTGGGAAGAGCATCCTTCACATTCTCTTTGTACCTTTGTTTTCCTTAAATTTCATGTTTGGAAGTTCTTCCACCATGACACTCTATCTGCATTTTTGTCATATGTGGTATGCTGCATACTGCCTTGTCTATCCTGTCTGATGAAGTTCCCAGGGGCAGAGAACCACTGAGTCATCCCTGTGGAGAGCTGTGAGATCCCAGCACTGTGCAGGTGGGAAGCTGAGCCCTCTTTTCCTTCCAGTATTTCAGTGCATCAACACAGCACACAAAACATGGGAGTTTTATCTCCTGGCCTCAGCAGTGAGGGAACCTGTTCACCCTGAAGCACAGGCTGATTTAAACAAGTATGTGTCTCCAGACAGACACCATGATTCTGCAGTCATGGTCAATCCTTTCTCAAATCATGTTGATTTACTATCATGAGGGTGACTTCCCACGCACATGGCACCCACATAGTGGCAAAAGCCATGTGGTATCAGAAGAAAGCAAGCAAATAGCCGCTTTCACCATTGAAAAATGGTTCTTTCCTCACAGCGTTACTCAGATAGTCAACCAGGGCCAGCTTAGTCCACTTAAGTTATTAGATCCTCAAAACCAATCTGAAGTGCACTGCAGTCACTGCAGTCAGAGAGCAATTTTGTCCAAACAGCAGCTTGCCCCACACCAGCTAGGGAAATGAGAAGTGCTTGAGTTTTCAAAGAGATGAACAAATTACTGGTAACACATCCAGCACCAGCAAGTGTGGGTATTGCACCCACCAAAGCAGTTGTGGGTGCAAAGTCTCCTTTAAACACGAGAAGGGGACATCTCTGTTGTGCCCTCAGCCAGAGCTGAAACAGTGGGAGAGGGATCGGTTTCCCTTCACATGGAGCTCTCCACAAACGTGCCATGGCTGGCAGTGGGCTGTGGCATCGCTGTTGTGACCTCTCAAGCTGTCCCTGGTGAGGTTGGTCTCCCTACTGAGTCTTTTGCAGGTTCAACTGCATCATCCTAATCAGTCCAGAGGGCAGGATTCAGCCATTAAGTTACTTGGCACATTTGGGGCATTCCTAACGAGCCCAGAAGTTCTGCTGTCGCTTGTGTTAGACAAGGTGCACCAGGACCCTGGGCTGTTCGTGCATTAGCATTTCATATCGGGTGCCCAGCAAAGTTTAAAGCAGTTTTTTTTAAAAACAAATTGGGTTTAGTTGCACAGCCTCCCGGAGTGAAGAAATTCATTTGAGGGGGTAGCCCTGAATTTTAGGCCTAAAATAAAATTAGCGCACGTGGCAGGCAGGTGGCTAAGTAAGCCCCAGCAGTGCAAAGGCAGGGCTCGGAGCCCGGCCAGAGTCCTGCTGCGCCTCGCTGCAACCTCTGCTCTGAGGCTTTGATGGGCTACGGCCTGGGTACGTGTCCCTGCTGCTGAGGTTCACGCTTTGCACGCCTGCCCGGTGCAGGCGATAAGTGATAACTGCGAAGGCATGTTAGGAAATCACACCTGCCCGGGCCTGCAGGGACTCCACGCCTGGCTGAGGTGGGTTCAGTACATAATTGTGCAACGAAAGGCTTCCAGCTCCCTTTGGCTGGCGGGTAAGGCAGCTAGCTGCTGATGGCACAACTTCACTCACCTGAGAGATTTCCACGCCTGGGAAGCCAGGGGCAAGATAAGGTGTAGCCTGATAGAGGGCGGAACATACTCCCATTGTGAGCTATAAATCTCCCGGGCAGGTGTTGGCTTGTTTTGCTTCCTTTTTGAGAATTGCTACTTTGCCAAAGAGAAATAATGAGAGCAGCACTCTGTTTACAGAAGCAGCAGAGCCTTGTCTTTGTTGGGTCTTTTCCATCAAATAGTGTTGCACCATACTAGTTCTGCCTGCGGAAGTATTTCAAAGATAAATGTAAATGCTAATGAAGAGAAGATTCTTGTGTCTTAGGGAGGAAGGAGTTGTCCCCTTCTGCTGATGTGGGAATAACAGGTGAGGACAACTCAGATGAGGGGTCAGACCCATACAAAGAGATGCTGGCAAAGCTGCAATGGGAGTAGGTCTCCTGGCTCTTAGGACCATGCCTGTGTCCTTGTGCAGAGTGACCTCCTGCCACTTTAAAGGTAATTTCTGTAGAGCCCAGTTGCTTATCTGCTGTGCAGAGATTGTGACCTGGGTTCTGCTCCCAGGACTTCTGAGTTGCAGGGGTTCAGGAAGGCAGGTCCTGAGCTCAGCCGTGAGCCTGCTCCACGCAGCGTGGGAAATCTGGCTTGTATGTCTGTCTGCGTGGTGTCTGAACGTGAGCTTTCAGCACAGGGCCAGCAGAGGCTAATCATGGGGGTTTGATATTACCAGGCCAGCTGATGGTCTGGTCCCGCTCCCAGTCTGTACCTCCCCCAACGATGTGGCTCCACTGGTGGGAAAGAGCTGAACAAGGCTTGAAGCTAAGGTGTGTGTTTGGCTGCCCATGCTGCACCAGCCTCTGGACACAGAGTTCATGGAGGGCTGTACGTACACTTTGCACAACTCAACAGTGGCTTCCCTCTCCCTTAGTAAGGGGAGGTATACAATTATCTTGTGTTATTTCCATCTGCTTTTGTGATTTTTTTGTTTGGAGATAGCGTAAGATATCAGGCCAAGCCCAACCTTCACCCTTGACAGACAGTAAATAGCCATGAGGGATTTGCTGTGCCGACAGCCCTTTAGAACAGTAAAACCCTTTGCTAGCTAATTCCTCTTTATGATTTAAAATCTCCCCCAAAGAGAGTAACTGCCAGTGATTTCTGCCAAAAACATTCCTTATTAGAAAAAAAAAGGACACCCAGAACATGACTGTAATAATAACCGAGTGCTTTTACCAGTGAGCCTAGTGCAACCTCAGATAAAGGAAAACAATCACATTTTGCAGATGGAGACACTGACTTATTCCAGGTAGCATAATAATTCTTAATAGTGTTACCTGATTCCTACTGCTGTTTTAACTGCCGCATCCTTCCTTATTGTATGTATTCACTTCTTTCCCCCTGAATACCCTTCAAGTTTTCCATAATCATAAATAATACAGTGGAACAATGGCCTTGAATGGCCTAACATTAACAGGGAAGAGTCTCTGATGCAGTGCTGAAGGCCAGAACTGGATTTTATATACATTAAGGGCCTTTGGGGACACTTTCTAGTATGTTTTTGCAGCAAGCTGTGGTATTTGAAGCTGTTGCTGTTGAATAAATTAGTATTTATTTCAAGAAGCAATGAAGGATACCAAATAAATAGTATCACTGGGGGGGGGGGGGCACAAAAATAAAAAAAAGATTTTTATGGGGGGGGGGGGGCACAAAAATATGTATTTTTTAAAAAAGAAGCAAAAAGTGATTCAGCTAAAAGGATTTTTTTTACATCTGAGCCTAGTCAGAACCTCAAGGTTAAGATAACTTCTTATTTTCCACCGACTATTTTTGCTCTTGCCTAGGCTTCTCCATTTCCTGGTTCTGGCAAGGGCTGCAAGCAGAAGGGCACGCTGTAAACTAAAATAGGCAAAACTGAGCTTTTAAGCACAAATGTGCTCAGGGAGTGTGGGGTGCACAGCTGTGCTGTCAGACTGCCCGGAGCCCATGGCCAAGCATGGCAGATGGGACCGGGTGCCCTTACGGGAGGTGGAAGAGGAAGGAGGTCCCAGCACGGCCTGCTCAGCCTCCCTTGCCTCCTCTAGGTCAGTGAACATCAGCTCCACTCCTGTTTCATGCCCAGTTCTCGCTCTTCCCTCTCAGGTTCAGGTGGAAGAGCTGCTCTGTGGGGTTTTCTTTGCACGTGCCTTCCCTTTGGCTTTCCTGTGATCCTTTAATTTTTTCCCTATCACAAAATTCCTTTCTTTTAACAGAAATGGTTTAAACAAAAGTGTGGTTTTATCTCTCTATTAGGCGGTTCTTTGACAAATAAAAGTACTATGTCTGTCTTATGGCCTTCTACCTGCGTTCTGAGGTTGGGTAGGTTAACATAAGGGTGGTTGTTCTGGCAAGGCCAAGTTGTTCGAATATATAATTTCTTTGCTGTCCCAAAATGAATTGTCGGGTCTTGACACGTGGATGACAGATCCTTGGCTGACTTCAAGGCAAAAGATGAAGCATCCTTGATGAATGTTTTGTGAGTAAATGTCTGTCTCTCTGATCAAATTAAAATACTAACCCTTTACTGAGATGGTGGAAGGCATGGGGATTACAGACAGTGTCTTGACTTTGCTAAGTGGAAAAAGCTTGTT